GGAATTTCATCTGCATAACATAAAACAGAAGTATGGGTGCACAGCAAGGAGAAATCTCAATTTCCTTTTTTTAACAGCCATCCTATTGCAAGTTAAGAAATACATTATTTTTTACAGATTATGACATCCTTTGTTTTTACAGGTAGGATGACAATTCACCAGTTCACACAAGGAGAAGGAGAGTACAGAAGATGGTAGGAAAACAGAGTAAGAAATCAGGGTAAGAAGTCTTACGTGCAGCAAAGGCTCAGTACATACATGCATGTGTGTTAAGCGATAAACTGAAATACTCTGAATAATGCTCTGAAAATTAAACTTCCTGTTTAAAGCACAGTGGCAACATTTCAGTTACCTTGATGGAAATAGCTAACAGTAAAGAGAGCAGAGAAAAACAACAGTTCTAACAATGCACAGGTATCCAGTTTAAATAATCAGCCTGCATTTAGGAAAAGTGTAAAGCTCCATCTTTAAAGAGAGAATGAGTGGCACCAAAAGGAACTACTAAAGTTTGTAGTTCTCTTTAATAACTCACCTTGGCTTCCACTTCATATTGAAGAAGGAAAGTTGTTGACAAGCAGTGTAAAAAGATGAAAAGAAAGTTAGTTTTGAATAAATTACAATTCACAACCATGAAATTCACTCTGCTGCTTTCATGCTTAATTTCCTTATCCCCCCTCCTCTTTATGAGCAGCTGTGTATAACAGGGTAAAGGGTATGAAGCAATCAGCAAGATTCAACACTTTGATGGTGACTATGCACAGTTTCTTGATTGGCTAGCTGTGGATCAGATTAAAAGCTTTAATCACCTGGCTAATTAAAACTTGTCTTACTGCCTGGTATATAACAAACTAACAGAAGTTATGAAACATTTGAGCCTATACGTCACTAAAAAGACACTATCTGTCGACAATCATAAACATCACATTTACTTGGAGGTACTTTGAAGGAAGTCTGAAGTACCATCTCATAAAAACTATACAACTGTTTTTCCTTTCACACTGAAAAAACCCCCATTTTTTCCCTTATACTACATCAAACTAATAGATACCTAACTTCCTATTAAAGAGTATCTAGTCTAATTCCCAAAATTCCTGGTTTTAAATATTTGTGATTCAAATAAACTAATAAAAAGAACACATAATAAAAGAGAGATGAAGAAGAGATTAAAATGAACAACATTTAAGCTACACTAGACATTAAAACTGGAATATTTGCCCAGAAGTTTTTAAAGGATTTATCTCTCATCAGTATTAAAACTGATGTAATATGGTAAAATTTATTGGCTTCTATAAAACTTTAAAATGCTTTGCATTCCTTGTAAAGCATTTTGGGACAAAATTTAGCAAGAGAAGCATTTTTACTGCTCAGAGATGTTTATGAAACTTATTTATTTTAATGTTACTACTTTCAAAATCTGCAGTACAGTATCATGATCAGTTCCACAGAATGCAATGATTTTACCTTGGCACTGGAGGAAGGGCACGAGGCGGGCACTGAAAGACAAGAGACAAAAATCAGCTTCTGCCAGCATGAACCCACCTCTCAGGAAACAGCTTCAGATCAGAACATCCAAGGTATGTTTTTCTCTGTATGCCTCCTGAATGGCCAAATATTCCTAATGGAGATGTTACATAAAAGTAGGATGTAAAAGATGCTGAACTAATATGCCTTTATCAGAGTTCTGATGGGCACTGCAGTAGGAACATACAGCTACCCTCTGTGTGAGGCACAGCTTACATTTTAGCTTCAATAATTTCCACTTTTTCATGTAAGGTACCACCTTCACTATAAAGCTTATTAGTTATTCTATTCAAATAAATATAAAATATTGTAATGAATTGTGCATTCAGTAATTGTACAGTATACAACCTGAGATGAGTATTTTCTATTAATGAGGTAAATTCAGAACAATAATAAAAACAATAAAAGGAAATAAGCTCACTTATTAAAATGCTTTTAAATATTACAAAATATCATTTTTCCATATAATTTTGAACATATTTACCAGCAGGTCAAACACCTAAAATCTAAAAGGATCTCCAGATAATAATTTGAAACTGAGCTTGTACCTTTCTCTTCCCTAGAAAAAGGAGTTAACTTTCAGATTTTGTATTACACAATTATATTGAAAGAACATACACAAAAAAGTATTTTCCATGCCCAGAAAATTCAAATACCAGAACTAAAAAAGGTTGTAAGACTGGTAAGACTCAAGGAGCCACAAACTTACCACTTGTTTCTTTCCCATATCATTTGAAGTCCTTCCCTGAAAGAGGCACTGTGAACTGGTCTAGGCTCCCTCACACTGCTCAGCTCCCTCACATTGAACCGCAGCTAATTCTGAACTAAAAATAAACTTCAGGCAGCCAGGATTAGCTGGACCTGAACCCTCCTACCCCTGGGTCAGGACCCAGAACTACTCCCATTTGAAACAAGGGCAGGTTGTTCTATGACAGCAAATATTACTTGCACTAAAAAACTCTTCATTCTGCGTGCTGGCACAGGTTCTTATAAACAAGTTTTACATTGGTTTGTTTACCCAAAGGAAATGAGATACCTCATGCAAGGAAGGGTTTGTGGGATTAGACTTCAAATCTCTTACTTGGATTTTGGCCATGCTGAAGATTGACAGCAAGTGCCACTTGCTACACAGGTAGAGAACTGCACACCCTAAGGGGCTTCCAGCAAACTGGTGGGGACTGGTCACGCTATACTGGTGCACCATAAGGGAAAAAAATATTAGTAAAGGTCAGATCTCATTACTTTTATTATTTCCAACATTCTTGTGGCAGTAAATGTTTACGATACTTAGTATTTAAAAAAACTAAATGCTAAAAAACTCCATAAAAACAAACAAGACACAGCATTCACTGCCTATGCAGTAGTAATTCTATACTCAGTAGTACCTTTTTATTTTATTACCTTCTACAGAACAACTGGCAAGTGCATTGATTTCTGTATAATTTATTCCTTGCAACACAGGAAAGCACATGCAAGCAGCCAGTTGTAAATACTCATCTGCCCATCTGTGTGACAGTTCCTAGCTTTGCCATAGAGCTATCAGCTTTTGTCTAATTGCAATTTCACAGAGTCTGAAGTAACTTACCCCAAATTTCATAGAAAGGGTGAGTCTGGGGACAGGTCCCCATGGACATTTTGTTATGGACAGAAGAGCCGCTGCGTGCTTTAAAATGCCTCCGAAATAATGCCCCCGAAACCAAGAGACTCCCACAAACAAGGCAGCCGCTGCCTGGGTCAAACCCTGTGTTTGCACACCTGAGCCAGGCCACAAGACAGTGGGACGCACCTGGACACTCAGGGGGAAAACGAACTATCCAAATCCCCGGATGTCCATTCCAGGACGCTGAGAAGGAAAGGTTTAAATGTCCAGAATGTTTAAAAATACTGAAGCAGCCTTCACAGATTTGTTAAAGCCTTGCAGATTTTCTTTTGAGAGGTTTATATCAAAAAGTACATGAAGGAAATGTTTGCTTGCTTCCGTTACAAAGATCTTCAGAAATGTGCGACCATGCGGCCGGTTACATTCCCCCCTTCCCGCGGGATGCAGCCGGGCGGGCACCGCCGCCTCCGCAGCGGAGCGGGGACGCAGGAGCCTCGCTACCAGGGCGCTCTGCTACCAGGGCGCTCTGCTACCAGGGCGCTCTGCTACCAGGGCGCTCTGCTACCAGGGCGCTCTGCTACCAGGGCGCTCTGCTACCAGGGCGCTCTGCTACCGCGTCGCGCTTCAGCTCCGCCTCCCCTGAGCAGCTGCTGCTTGGGGAGCGGCCCGCCACATCCCTTCAGCAACAGCGCTCAGGTGGGCCAAACTCCCGCCGCCGGGCTCCCCGCCCTGCAGCCCCACGGAGCCGTTCGCGCCCCACTCCCGCTCCGGCCCCACCGCCCCCTCACCACGCCGGGGCCCGCCCGCCGCGCCGCCATGGACCACGCCCGCCCAGCTCCGGCTCTGCGGGGAGGAGCCGCTGCTCCTTCCGCCCTGCGCCGCGGTTGCACCGCCCCCCAGCGCTGGGAGGTCCGGCTTCCCGTTTTCCTTGGCTGCGCCGTGTTGCCGGCGGCTGGCCCATCGGAGCGAGCTCAGCTCCGGGGCCCCGAGCGGGAGTCGTCGTCTCTCGGGCTGCAGACAAGCAAAAGCAAGGAGAAAAGAGTTCTGGACTAGTTCAGTTTGTAGCCAGGGTCTTAAACTGATAAATGAAGTAATCGGAGAAAACAAAACCAAAGTAAGAAATAATACATGGAGAAAAGGCAAAGATGCTGGGACTAGGCAGACGTGGGGAAGCTGCTCATGGACCAGGCTGCTATCTCACCCTTCACCAGTACATACCCACATCAATGACATATTGGGGCTTCTCTCTCTCCCATTTTACCTCTAAACAGGGAATACAAGCCCTGGCTCTAGAACAAACAGGCATCCTGTTGGCTGTAATACTTGCCTTTAAATAACCTCTTTCTAGACTGCTTAACTCACTTTTGTTGATTTTCCTCCAAGATGAGGTAGGCCAATAAAATAACCACCTGTGTACCTCAGGTGGCAAGACATCTACAAATATGAGGTGGAGAGAGTGAGTAACTTAGTTTCCACAAGCACTGAACCCTTTGCTGAGGAGACCCTGCTACCACAGACCAAACCAACAAGAGAAAGGTTTTGTGATTATTTTCCTCTTTGGTAAGTCCACATTCTGTCAGTTTGTACTCACTTGCGTTGATGGAAGAGCAGAAAAGATTTATTTACAGTATTATGAAGTTAACTGGGTTTTGTAGTAATTATTGTTATGCCAACACTGCTCCTATTTTAAAGGTAAAAAGGATTAGCAACAAAACAATACCTTCATAAATAATAATGCTGATATACACCATGCAAAAAAAGCACATTCTTACTTAATATAATTTGTAAGACTTGCAGAATATAAAGGCATCATAGAACCCGGAACAAGCATAATAAAAAGGAAGTTTCTGAATTTATGTGTAAGTAAATAACATAAATGCATGCAACAAAATAGATTTTTCTTTATTCTTGTAATTGAGTACTCACAGTATTTCCCTTCTTTTTGTACAAAAGTAACATAAAATGCTCAAGAGCTACACAGAATATAGTATGATTATATCTCCTGTTGGAGCTTCTTTCCTAATGCTCTTCCAAATCCCTCACATACAAAGATAAATTCTTGCAATCCTGACATTAGGATTATTCTTGAAGTAAAACATAAGCTGTAATCTTTCTGAAGCTGCCTGCTGTTTAGAATTAGGGCTGATTGTCTGAGCATATCCATACTGCAGGGACCCACTGGGGCTCATCCTGTGCACGATGTACTGCAGACAGCAGCTGTGCAGATGCTTCTTGTAAATTGTCATTCACAATCACATGATCAAAGAACTGACCAAACTGAGCTTCCATTTTCTTAGCTGATTCTTCCATTTCCTGTAAATCTTCTTCCTGTGAGACAGAGTAAGTCCATAAAACTTCAGTGTTGTGTAGAGAAACATACCTGCACAGCATCTGCAAAACACCTTGGGCTACATAAACAAGAGGTGAATAGATAATATCAGTCTGCTTTATTTCATTTACAGTTGCTATAATAAAGTACCTCTGCTACAGTCATTTCCAAGTCTCAAAAACTGAGCTGCCTGCCATATGCTTCCCAAGGAAGTACCTGGTGTCCCAGAATGCTCCATTTGCCCTAAAAAAGTTACTCTAATGATAAAGTGCTGGCAGAGAATGTTAGGGACTGGAAGGTAAATCTACTAATGATTTTGTTCTTATTCCAAATTTTAGTTTATTTCCCCAGAGTCCATGTTACTTTCTGTCATAGCAATCATGAGTAATTTCCACATAGTTATAAACTTAGGTCTCAAAAATGTTAAGATGCTAAATTTGATGATAATTTGCATGGAAATGATTGTGTCAAAGTGCTGTATATATTCTAAATATAAGAGATGCATTTCCTACAAGCAGGATCTGTGTTTTATCTACAGAACTTAGTATAGGATTGATAGTGGTATTAAGCATACATGAAATAATAATACATTCTTATAACTGTGAAAAAAATAATGCTACTGAACAAAGCACATTCCAAGTATTTCAGTGCAAACAGTAAATATATGTGTTGACTAGAATATTGACACAAGGCAGCTAAATAAAACAAAAATATGCAAAATAGCTTCTCCTTTAAAGACATTTTGAAACAAAGTGCCTCGGCCCCCTTGGTTACAAATTACAATTCTTATGCTTCAAAGCCAGTCTGTAAGCGGAAAAGAAATCCCAACAAAATCCACAGAAAAAAGACAATAATTAGATTTGATCCTAAAGACACAGTAATGTTTTTTAAAGAGTTAAGAGTGTAGCATAGTAGAACGCATTATGTTCTAGTAACAGAATCTCAAATTAATAAACTCAATCTCTTTTATTCCCAAATCTCACCTTGAACTTCATGTTCACATAATAATCCGTAATGATCCTGGCATTTTTACGAGTCTGCCTCATGCAGCCTATGCTGGGTGGCTTGATGAATATAATGTAGGGCTTTAACTCATGGGTCCGGGCTATTTGTATACCCTACAAATGAAGAGTAAAATGAAGTATTTCAAGTGTATTCATCCCAGTTTTACGCCCATAAAAATCCAGTTGTTTACAACATACTGTGATCCCTAGACCTAGGAGACACTTTTTTCAGGAACACTTAATTGAAAAACATCTCAGTAATAATCCCTGGAGCAGACATTGTTAAGCTACTGTAGCATACAATTACTTAATTCTGCTTGGTAGCATCATTAGGAGATGCTTTCAAAACCATGGAGTGATAGAACAGTGTCATTAACAGATCTCTACAATCAACCACATAAAAGATGCATTTGAGACCTGTTCTTTTTTGACTCTGAGGGAGCTACTTTTGGAACAAGTACCTCTTTATTGTTCCATGCTGGAATAAAATAGCCTGCTTTCAGAAATCCTTTACTGTGTAGCATTTCCTAACTCTAATAAGTATTTTTAAATTACTGCAGAGTAGTGGAGGGAATGAAAAAAAAAAAGAAAAACTAAAGAAAATCGTAGCATGTAAACTTGGTCAAACCACCAGATCTAAAATAATGTATGCAACACAGCAATAGTTTTGCTACCTCACTGGTCTTACTTAATACCCTTTCTAAACCTTGTCCTTTAAACTCATACCCTAAAAAAAATCATAGTGGCACATCTGTCCAAGTGGCAAGATTACACTCCCCATGCCACAACATCCTTCTTTTGCCCCTTTGCTTAAAAATGTAAAAGAAGAAACCCAAAGACAGTTTTAGATATGAAGACTAAAGTGTGACCTCATGTACCCCTTACAGCAGTTTCAGTTTTTGAGTAGTACCCCACAAATCTTGTAACTTAGTTTCTGTTTTAAGCAGCACAAGGCACTGCCAGCCTAAGGCTTGGACACATTGGCTCTGCATAATTAGAGGGAAATATCCAAAAATTACTGAGTTATGGAGTCACTCTTTACATTCAGTTAGAGGAGATGTTTAAATGGCATAGCTCAAACAGCTCCTAAGTACTAAATATGCAAGAAATTCAAAGAAGGTTAGCAAGGTTTAACTAGACACAGCTCTAAGTATCTAAGTATCAGGCTTTTATAAGCCTTATCTTCATCAGCAAATTCAATCAAAAATAGAAGGAAAATAAAAATCAATAGTATCTAAGTGAAGAAACAGGTTACTAAGAGATGTAACTTCTGGAGAGAAATGCAGACACACAGGCACACTAAAATTTTCAGCTTTTGCTTGATTACTTTAAGTGTTGCTGCTTTTTACCAAAGGGTGTTCTGAGATTGCTAACAGAAGAACTCTCAACAGTAGGGCTTGGAGAAGGAAGTAATCCAATGCAACAGGTGTCCACGTGAAAGACTAATCCTTACTTTAAGTAAGTATGAAAACTCATTTCCATACCATCCTGATAATGCAGCTGCTGGCTTGGTAAAAAATGCACTGTCTCAATATACTTGTCACTGTAGTACCACCACCACCCCCTAAGACACGTGAAAAGAATAATCTATTATTAATAAGCAGCATGAGGTAAAGTGAAAAAGAAGACAAAGCAACTAACACTGTTCAATGGCTCAAGAATGTAGAGAAAATTATTTTTCCTTCCAGAAGATTCCCTGCCCCTTTACCACTCACCTGTGGTTCTAAATCTATTACACAGATCTTCCCTGCATCAAGGACTGTTCGCACTGCATCAATACTGGTACCATACAGGTACCCTTTGTACTCCCCATATTCCAGCATTCTGCAACAGTGGTGGGGAAGAAGGAAAATGAAAGAGCATTTGAGTTTCAAAAAGGTTCAATTTAAAAATGAAATCTTCAAATATAATCCAGTGATCAGGACTGAATGATCATAAAACCTACTGAATACTGTTCACCTTGTCTCTTCCCTGCTACACTAGGCACAAAAACCATTACAATTAATCTCCAAAACAGGCATTCTTTACTCATCATGGTTTTATGAATTTTGTGTTTAGAGGTTGTGATTTTACTCATCAATGCTTGTCAATTACATACTACAAATAACTCCTTAAGTCTGAAGATCTCATAGCACTTGGTAGAGTTCAATGAGTGTTGCTTCTGTATCTCTGGATATGTTTAAAAAAAGACTGTATTTGGCACTTGGTGCTATAGTCTAGTTGTGGTGTTAGGGCATAGGTTGGACTTGATGTTCTTAGAGGTCTCTTCCAACCTCATTATTCTGTGATTCTGTGCTGAGCTGGTCTGTCTTAGAGAGATTATTGATGCATAGAAAGGAGAAGATACTTTTGAATATTTAGCCCTTACAGTTCAACTACTTGTGTGTTATCACTGCAGAGATCCTGCAATGGAGTTGTAGGTCAGGATCAGGTATGATTTACTGCTAAATTTTCAAAAGCAGTCTGGTTTCCAGAGTTAAACTCATAATTTACAAGCACATCTAATGAGCTCAGGACTAGACAGCCCACTTCCTTTTAGAAGGACTCTGAGATTAATTGTGGAGGAGCTATTTGCAACTGCACAAACAGAGTCTTTGAACAAACAGTCTCAAGTAGTTTGACCCAAATTTACACCACACATATACAGTAAGAGTGGAGGAGCCCAGACTTAGGACTAACTACAAAACTGTACTAGGCTCATGTTGCATTTTAGGCAATAAAAATGTAACTCATCTCTCCTACTCACCTGTGGCTATACACCATGTTTTCAAAAGTTTCCTTCGATATGTAGTGGTATTCACGACCATTCATTTCATAACTTTTCTGAACACGAGTGGTGTCTGAAGGATGATATAACACACACACAAAACTAGCTGCAACTCAATTATCGTAACTTTATAAGTGAAAATGAGAACTTCATTAAGAACTACCAATCAGTATTTTCATAAATAATAATATGAGTTATTTCCATTTGTTAATCCAGAGCAAAAGCCCCATATACTGTAATGGTTTCCCAGTGACAAGTCATTGAAAGTTATCAAAGCAGAACTGTATTTCTTGGAATGGAAGAGTAGTTTAATCCAAATAGTTGTGATTCAAAGCAATCGGGAACTGCCTTGGAACTTGTTGCACAACTCTTTACTCTTCAGAGGCAGATTTTTTTTTAAAGTTCATTCAGAAAAATCCCACAAGTTTCCCACACTTGCACCTTCCCCTTATCTGGGACCTTAAGCACTAAGTCCTGAATTTTCAGCTAGCTTCAGATACATAATTTCCAGTTGGGTTATCTAAATTACAAGAACCAAATAAGTACAGTTAGAACTAATTTCAGGTGTTACGTCAGAAGTTAAGCTGCATAAGTCTCATCTGAGACTAGGAGGCTAATAAGGAAAGCTGCAAAGCCTATTAAGCACCAACTTCTGTTGTCTTCATTCTCATACCTGAGCACTTAAACCCCAAGAACTTGAAGTATCTCCAAGAAACATTCTTTTTTTTTTAAATCTAGGGAAAGCAAACACCAAAATTTAGTCAAATCATGAAGATAACTTTTCATCTCCATAAAGCTTTTAATGGATTCAGAAGCTGGAACTTGAACATACCTTTGTCTGATTTGCCAAAATGAGATAGATAGTATTTTAAACTAACCCTTATGAAAGCAAAGAGTACTGGCTTTCAGTAGAGCTGAAGAAACAGCCATAGAGCAAAGAGTGTATAAATACACAAAGGCAAGAGGATGGTACTTGGAATTTCCTGTTCATGTTTGAATTGGGGTAGGGGAGGAAAGAGGAAAAGCATTACATACGAGGTGTGGCACTTTGAAACTCTCGTGGGTTACTTGTGATTAGCCTTCGCCGTAGCTCATTCACACCAACTCCTGCAGGACCTGGAAAGTTGGAAGAGCAGCTAATATTAACAGGGTACAAATCACTCCCCAGCAATGTAGCCATACCCAGGAGGCAACTCAGTTGTACTATTTTAAAAGAAAAAAAAAATCAAATACTTCCAGACTTAGAAAGGACAGTGGATTTGCCTTTACTCAGTTTGCTTTATCATGACCATAGAACAGTGTAGAACAGTATCTTTCCTTCAGTCACTACAATTAAAGTCTCCTTGAGAGCCTGAAACCCACTTAATACAGTATGTGCTAAAACAAGCATTATATTAAAGGCATCTTTCCATACTGTCCATGATTGAGATTGTCTAGTCTGGAATTAAGTATTCTTATTATTGTCGTATCTATGCATTTAACACTGGTTATAGAAATGCCATCATGTAAAGATGTTTTCTATTGAGATACCAATGTTTTCTCATAACTTTCAGTCCCAGCTGAATATAAAAGTGAACCACTTCCCTAACAAAATCCATTATCAACCACCATTTGTAACCACCTCCTTCTAAGGACTTTATTGTTACTATTTTTTAACACTATCTCAAGCAAAGAAGATGATACCTGCATTAAACTTTAACCCAAAAAATGGGGTCAAATTACAATAATTCTTGAAGTGTTGCTTTGAGAGCTGTCTACACCAACAGCACTGCAATCAGCAGCAGGAAACCCTTGCTGAAATTTGCCTGCGAAGGTCATTAAGCTCTTACCCACAAGGATAATTAGTCTGTGCCGGTCTGTTGGGTGCCGCTGGTACCTGACCACCTCTTCGTAGGGAGCTGCCAGGGTGCTGTAGCAGCTGCTGGGGCAGCGGGAGTAGCAGGACTGCTGGTTGAGCCGGGCCTTCCTGCGACACAGCCGCATGCTTCTGCGGAATCCAGCTGGGTGGGGCAAAGGCACAGTACTGGAAAATACATCTGGCATGCAGGCAACTAGCTCTTTTAGCCCAGAGGGCCTCTTTCTAAGCCACACAACATACTACCTTTTCTGAGGTTTTTGTAAGGTGAAGGTTAGTGAATTTCATTGCTGCACTTGATATGACAGCTTGGTAGAATCTCTGAGCACTAGATGACAGCTACTGAGTAGGTAAAATCCCATTGAAAGTCACATGAAAATTAGCCTAGAATTCAAGACTTGTGAAAGATTCTCCAAAACAAGCTGGAGGAGAAGTTTCTGACTACCTGAGGCATCCCTCTGGGAACAGGTCAACCTTTTTGATAGTGTAGGTGGTTCACTCTCATGAGGCAAGTCTAAAACATTTGCTCCAGCCTCCAGAACATGTATTTTAAAGGTCACTATGGTTTAATAACCACAGAGGTAGGTTTTTTTCTCCACTTGACCATCCAACTCTGAAAACTTCACATATAGATGCACATTTCAAATGAAAACCCTCATGATTATTCTCAGTGGATGACAGACATTACTTTTGAGAAAAATTAATAATTAAGTCAAGTTTAAATAGTTGCCAAGCCTCTGTAGAAACCTAACAGGAAGAAAGACTTAAATGGAGAGACTAAGCATTATTAGTAAGAGACATCCTGACGTTTGGAAAACAGAGTAAGTTGTATTCCATTTAGTGAGACTTTAGGTGATATAAGAAAAAAGCTTTCTATTGAACTGAATTCAAGCACTTAAGCTAGATCAAGCCCCAAACATTTTACTTATCTTTAGTCATTGCATACCAATAAAGACTCGTTGACCAAATTCACCAAATTCTTCCTCTTCTAGAATACAAAGAACAAATACTCATTAAATAAAAGAGAAAGCTTAAAAGCTCAATGGCAAACAAATATTGCTGATCCAAAGGGAAAAATGAGTTTCAGTAAATATGTGTAAGTATGATGCCTAATTTAAAAAGCATGATACTCTATAATATCAAAAATATTTCACATGACCAATGACCAATTCAAAAGGGTTATTGTAAGAAAATATAAACATAGTCTTGGTATTCCCTAAATTAAATTTGAAACTTTACATTCTATTTGTTCCATTCCCAGTTTATCTACATGCCAGACAATGTTTTGAAATTGAAATTAGTGAAAAAACATCCACATAATTTAAGCTTTTCAGGTGAAATCAATCTTACAATAAGTCTTCAGTTAAAATAATAACAGTCAGTAGCTCAAAACTAGAAACAAAAAATTTGTAACTCAGTTTCTGCCCCATAGCATATTTGGAAAATGCAACTTGTGTCTGCTCAGATCTTTCAGGCAAAATGAAGACCTCATTTTATTACTTCTTTTTCTTCATTGGATCAGTGATATCTATGCTCCAACATGTGAGCCTAACCTGTTTCCTCCAATTCTTTTTCTCCTCATTCATTCTCATGCTGTTCGTCATGAAGCTATCCTAATAGCTACACTATTCAGAATTCTAAAGCTCTGTATTTTTTTAAAATTAAATCTCTCATATAAGACTCAAACATACCAATTTTCCAATAAATCAATGTTCAGAAAGTATAGAAACTGTTTGAGAAAGGTGATTTGAAAACAAATAACCAAGGAAAAAATTGTGCCAGTGTTTAGCTTTCTTTTCAAAAAGTACTCGTTATTTTCCTCTAATCACACATGTAGTTATCCAAGCTGTGCATTCCCTTTGTTTAGGCCTTGTTAAGGCAAGAATGAGATACAGAAGACATAAGCATGTCTTTAAAAGCAATATTTGTTCCAAGGAAAAACATTATTTTCATTTGCAAAGCTTTGAAATGCTTTTAGCACTCTTTGATTTACACTTATCTCATAAGCATGGAAGTATTGAAGCAAAATTAGATTCATGTTAATTGCCCTTTCACATCTATACACTCTTCATTACTTGTACCTTTACAATACAGTTTTATTCCTACATTTCTGTATGTACTAACAACTAGTTAATGATTATGGGAAAAACTCCTTGGCACAAAACTCCTCATTCAGGGCAACTTTCAGAGTGATGTTAAGTTGATACATGCCCGTCTATCTTCGAGTCTCCCAAGTCGTCATTCAAACATGTTTAAATATTTCTGCTTTATCTACCCTGTCTTCTGTGGTGTGGAGTGCAATGTAGAATCCTACAGGGAACAAGCAATTCAGCTACCAGGTATTGCAAGAAGAGTGGTAGATCCTGCTGAAGCATAAACATAGATAAATTCTATTAGATTACTGCTACAGGATACAGAGAAATATGTTAGTGTTACCTTCTTTAAGCTCCTCTGCAGATTCAGATAGAGACAGATATAAAACAATTAGTTTTGAGAAGACAGTCTATACTATGATCTAACAAAAACCCTAACCAGCATTGGCCAACGCATTTAGGGAATGTAGAAAACCAATACTAGGGACATTAAATCTAAAATATGCATGAATTCTTAGTTCCCAAAGAATGCAAGAACTGCAGCATCTATTTCAGTATGGTAGTGCTGAAAATCTGCAACTACTGTTTAAAGTGGAATGTAGGATAGCAAATATTTGCACCTTTATTCCTCTATGTGGATACAGCAGACAGCTGACTCAGCACTGCGCAGGATTTGCACAGTAATCCCCAAGTGCAGCTATCAGAAACATCCTACCCTGAAAACAAAAGATTGCCCTGCAGACCTACTGGTTATGCCTTAAAAGCATTGGGCATTGCTTGAGAGGTTGAAGAGAATAAATGCTTGTGATAAGAGAAGAAGGTGAGAAAGAGACCTTGTGGAGAAGAGCAAATGTAAGGTAAAATTACATTCTTCTCCACAAGATGACCAAATACTTCAAATGAGAAGTTTAGCAGTAGTTTTATTTTAGGAGAGAAATTATTTATTTTACAAGACTTAAGTTTTGCAGAACTCTCAATGTGCTGTAAATAAGCAGATGCTTCCTAAATGAAAAAAACAAAACCCCCCATATCAGCTTGGTCAGAAAAAAAAATACTTATTGATTGTATTTTTATACATAAATAATTAATTTTACAAGCATTTTTCTTTCCTGTATGTCAGCCATGCCCACAATCAGGAATCCAGAAGCAGCTTTCCTCTTTACCACACCAACTCCTACAGGCACTGGGGATTCAGGCCTCCACATTACTGAAGGTAATCCAATTATCTGCTGACATCAGTGTAGCCCCTGCTGTCACAGCTTGCATGGGTACAGCTGATGAGGGTTGGATAAATCGATCTGCTACTGATGCACGAGAAGAAACATTCACACTCGTGGGATAAGAGGACTGAAACCTTACTACTAAGAGGAATACTTAAAGCAACAGGATTTTACATAGTAGCTTTTCAAGCTAGAATGGCTTCTGAAGCTAAAGTGGCATTTTGGTTTTTGCCACTTGCTTGTTTCTAAGATGCTTGTCTCTGGACACACTTCTCACAGCAGAACAATAGCAAGGAATTTAGAATTAGGTCAGAGGTGCTTACCTGACTCAAATGTTTCTTCATCTTGTATAGTAATCCAGATAGCAAAGATATTAAAATAAATTCAAAATTTAATTATTTTTCTTCTAATGAATATCAGAATCAGAAATCAGTTTTCCAGCTTCTGTCGGTCTGTCTCACATACACTTTCCCCTGCTCCCCCTACCTTGAGATGGCAAAATACAGCTCACCATACTTGAATTAACTGCTTCGTCTCTTCACACAGTCCTACAAGATGACATCTCTCCATGAGAGCTTCTGAATTATCTTGGAGAAGAAATAATGAACTGCACTGTTTTAGGGAGCAACTCAAGCTACCAATCTTTACAACTCAGTGTTCAGAAGTAAAAATCTATTCTTGCTCCTTCTTCTCCCAAGATCAGGAATTTCTTGACAAGGAATTGTGTGGGTTCCCCAAGACCACAACAATCTGTGGCATTAAATATGCAATTGGCAAAAAAGTATGGTAACTTTACAGCCACAATCCAACACCTGAATCAAGCAGTTGGATCTCATTCAAGCAAATATTTTTGTCAAAAACATTTGACTGTATTTGGTCAAAAACACTTGACTGTAAGCACTGGACACTGGAACTGCAAACAGCTCATTTTAATACAATAATACAAGGCGAGATTTCCAGAGTATGAAAACCAGAATTTTCTACCATTAAGTTCACTAGGAGAATGAGTAGTTTTATCTAGGAAATGAGGCTTTAAACTAGCTACTGCCTTGAAGCAAATAAAATTATCTCAAGTGAATTCAGTTACCTGTTTCCACACACTTTTCGTCAATCTGCATGTCATCCTCTACAGATCAACACAAGGGAAAAAAATTCATCTGAATCAGAAAAACACTAGAGAGGAAAAACACCCTTACAGATCTTACAAGACTGAACTCAGACATCAGAAACAAGATACATGAAGCTCAAATAATTTTTAGACATCTTTAAGGATTTTAACTGTTAGCTCAAATTTAGTGATGTTCTTTGTATTACAGTGAGCAAAAACTCTTGAGTGCTCTGAAGGCAGAGACAAATACATCTTATTTGAATTCTCCTCTTGAAATAATGAAAGGTTTAGCATGCTTGTCAATCTGTTTATCCAGTAGATATCTGTTTATTAAGTATTACCATGAGGGAATATAATTTTCTGTCTTATAGCTTTTAAATATCTTTCCAACATGCTACACTCAAGGAAAGTATTTTGCTTCTTATTTTTTTATTACTGTTACAAGGAAGAAAAGGAAAATATAAATTCAACTCTTTCTCAATCCCCAGACTATATCAATTTATTTCCCAGAAATGCGATCACATGAGCTTGGGCAATCTCACAGGCTCACAATACAACACTGTTTTTGTTTTGTTCTTGCACACCCTTCCAGATAGGCCCAGCAGTAGCTATTTTCCAGTTACAGGGCAATTGTCAGAATATCTGTCAATCACATTCTGCCCATATGTATCCATTAATGAAATACTCTCTTGGAGCTGCTGCAGGAGAGAAAGATGGAGAAGAAAAGAGAAAGAGGAACTTTTGTCTTTCTTTTCTCAAAGAACCCATCAAAACTGTCATTTCCCTGACAGATAATGCACAGCTAAGGTTTCAACTTTAAGACAATGCATGCATCTACTAGGTGAAAAAAGGCTGGATTTCAATTATGTTAAGCATACAAAATGCCAAGAACTTGGGCTTCTTCCACATGTATTTATCAAAATGCCTAATTTCTGACACCTTTTTTAAAAGCCTGTAAAACTATGTGTCATTGGTTCCAGGTACAGAAATGCAATGCTGTCCAGATGTGATTTCCTACCTTCTTCCACAGTGCTTACTGCTCACAGCATATCCATTGAAGCAGTTAAAATGCAATAAAATTATGGTGAAAGAGAGCCTCAGCTCTAGCAAGCAATGCAATCAGCGCAAGAAGAATCCTAGGGAATGAAACACATGCCCCCTGGGATTTATCATGACATAAAAATTTTATATTTGCATAAAGAACTATAGAAAGAAAATGGGGACAGAAGAAACAGAACATTCTTTTTCTGGGAAAAATTGCATATATACAGAAAATTATAGCTGGCAGAAGATAATATTTCTGGATTATTATCATGAATAAATTCAAGGGCAGCATATCTTATCTTAGACCTCAAGAAAATAAGTTATATTATTTTTTTAATAGCTTTGATGGCAAAGAAACATTCCAAACATGGCACTTCTCAGTGGCAGAGTTGGTATCTGTGTCCCCAGAAATCCAGGCCAGTACAATTGTCACTTCAAAACTTACAGCCAATTTTCCTAGAGAGAACTGGCTGGCCTCGTGAGGTCCTAGAACTTAGAGATTTTAGAAGAAGTTGAACTCGCAGCTTCTCTTATAGTCAGATCTCAAGTACACTGGAGACAACTATCTCCACCATCAGTACTCCAGGTATAATTATCAGTAAGTATTTTTTTTTCAGGTGATAGTTAACACAGTTGAAGGTTACAATATGGCTCCAGAAACATTGTCTTTGAATTAAGCTGAATTGTATAAGCTTTTATTTCAGTATCCCCAAAACAGAGACAAGATCTTTCTTTCCTGCTGTATCACTCAAGTAACTTTTCACTCACACATTGATGATTTGAGACACAGGTGGGGCTGGAAGGGCTGACACCACCAGAATTCTCGCTGCTTCCTACATAGAAATAAATTTATCATACTTAAAAAACAAAACAGTCCACAAGCACATTATGCTCCAGTCAGATTGACTGCTTACATGTAAGATTGATCAGTACTGAACTGAGAGAAGACAGCAAGAACTGAAACATTTTTTTGCAGTGTTTTAGCCCACTGCAAAAAACCTGAAATAAAACCAATGTGCTATCAGAAGTATTCAAAGTTCCCAATCAGCAGCTCAGAAGTACTAAGTATTTATATAAAAGTACAGGAAGATAAGCCATACTGTACCACAGACTCCTGGAAGAAGAAGAGTGTGCTGCTGGTAGGGGTAGTAGTACTACTGCCTCCATTACTGCACAGAGCCATTTGCAGCCTGAGCCACAACCCAGTTTGATTTCACGTTGCATTATACAGACTGCAGGTAGGTTTATATTTATTACAAAGTGAACTTTATTATGTGCTATTTCATGACCTTACGTTATCCTGGGGGTACCACAGGACATGTGGTTAAAGAATCAGATTGAAGTTTGCTACAGCAGTGTAAATACTCTGGTTCTGAATGCATGTAGTGTAAAAATAACGGTCTGTTTATGCAGAAAATAATAGGCAAGAGATCCTTGTTGTTTCTTGAGTGCTTGTTTTTTTTCTGCATTCTTCCAATCTGGCCTACTCAGTTTTGACCAAAGCTGAAGAGGTCACTCATGCATCACAGGACATCTTTAAAAAGATACTATGCTTTTGGTATCCCGTTCTTCCCCTTGGTTTGTTTTTTTTTTCCATCATAGATGATGGTCATTTAGTAGTCAGGGCCCTCCATTTCCACACATCTTTCAACTGCTACATTCCAATAGATGTCTCAGCAACCAGCATGGAGACTGGACAAGTGCTGCAAATTTCCTACATGGCAATTTGAGATTATACAGGTGCTTTCAAAAGTTTCTTCTCACACAGGTGCTCTTGCAGGGAAAATAGCAAGAAGTCAGATATCAGAAAGAGGAAAGATGTTTGTCAGATGTCTGTCTGAATCATACTACTACAAAACTTACAAAAATGTTAAATAACTGGCTGATTTTTGAACCAGAAATCAGGAAAATGATCATTTTTTTTACCTTTTAAGAAGATGATTTGAGGGTATGAGTCCAGCACAGGCACTGAGATCTGAAACTTTCCTGGCCTGCCACCAGAAAGCGTCATTCTGGTCCACAATCTGGAGTATTTCACCCCTCTTAAAAGGCAAACCTGCATCAGCACATGGTATGGCAGGATCTTGCAGGGGCCAGTAATCTGTCATTGCTCGCACATACAGCTAGTAAATAAAATATACAACAGTGAGCAGAAGCCAAGTTTACAATGGATATAACATGTGCTTTACAATCACAGGGCCTTATACTGCTGCAACTTCAGTCTAATGATGAAGTAAAGTTTTAAAAACCAGATCAAGCCTTAAACCCTCTGTTCATTAAATCAGAAAAAAATCCATTTGTCTCGTACATTATGAAAAGAACTGGCCTTCAAATTGTAGATCACTCAGAAAGTGCCTTTATTGCACAGTTACATTTCTACTTAGTGTTTTTATTGCTTCAGCAACAACATATTGATGTCAGCTGAGAGGCAGCCATAAAGGCAAGGATGTCGCTGTAGGACACGTGAAAGCACGACGCGAGCCACCTGCTATTTGCAAGGTAAAGAAGAAGGTTTATTATCTGACTCTGTCTTTTATACTTTCCCAAAGGTGACGTTGGATTGGAGAGTGAATGGGCCACCTCTCCAAAGACATTGGACAAACCACCAGTACATCAAGTGTTCTCCACCCCCATAAAAGAATGTAAACAATATGTTGTTTACAGAAATTGTTTGGGAAAGTTCTCCAAAGGAATGTAAACTCAGAAGGCTTTAGGAAGTCTTAAGAATCAGGGTGACACAAGGTAACATTTTTGGGATTGCAATAAACTTCCAGGCACCTTGTGGTAACAAGGTAACACCATGTCTTTGTATCACAGAATTGGGCACTACTGCTACCAGCCTGGGAAAAGAAAAATGTTTCTTACTGTTGTTTGGTTGCTGACAGGCCGATCAGAAACTGGAATTAATTTGAACATAATTGTCCCCTGAGACAGGGCCTAAATGATTAGAAAAGAATTAAAATATGGTTGGTATTCAACACAAGTAATCAAACATTGGCAAGATAAGCTTGACACAGCATGGCTTTGAGGATACTGCAATGTTTGTGTTACAGACAGAATTCATTTAGATGGAGTCAATGTGACAATACTGTATTTTTTCCAAAAGAAAACTAAAGAATGAAACATCAAAATTTTGCTAAATATTTTTAATTTAATGCAACCTATGTTTCATTGTAAGCATGTGTCATTTCAGTATTGATTCATACCAAACTTTTCTACTGAAATCTTATTTAAATTAGCAGCAGAGTTTGGTTAGTTGGGTTATATAAGGGGGGAGAAACATAATTTAGTAATTAAGCATTCCAATAGAGTTTGTATTTCTTATACCTAGAAATGGTATAACCATGGCAATTGCATATAGACTTGGTATGATTACACATGGTAATACCTCACTGGCTGGCAATTAACAGTCAAGAACCTTGAAAATTTGTGTGCAAAATGACAAAACAGGGACATCTCAGCAGATTTCTTCATGAGAATTTTGATAACAGTTATTACACTGCCCTTTTCTTGCAAGGTAAGGTGTGTAGCTTACACACTCATTCACTCTGCTTTAGCACATTTAGTAACACAGCCTCTTATTAGAATAGCAGCCTTCTACCACTTTCTTGTGAATATTTCTGAGTGGCATTTCGAGAAAAGTTATGAATCAGTGAAGGCTGAATAAATTAGTATTTTCCCCAGAAGCTGCAGATGGAATGGTCACAGTTAAGTTTATTTCTGCCCAGAACAGAAGTTAGATTTAATTCTGCTTTCATATATTCTGATTTCATGTGCAGTTGGGAACTTCATTCACACTAAGGAAACCATCTGAATTTTCTGTTAAAAATATCAGGCTTTCTCATGTACAAGAGTGTGTAAAATTAAGGTGCAAAGTAGAAAACATTTTAAAAATATTAAATACCAGAATATTAATGACTTGCTCAGGTTCAAGACCCTCAACAGGAACTCCATTTACTTCCACCAATTTGTCTCCAGCATACAGCAACCCTACCATGAAAACAGATATGAAAACAACAGCAGGAGTTTTATCACAGCATGATTTATCTTGGATAGGCAAGGCAGGGTCACACAGAAATTAAGACAACATTAAATTTTTCCTGCACCATGGATGAAGGAAGGCATCTTGGATTCAGTCTGCACCGCCCCTGGATGGGACTGGATGGGTCACAAGGAGCTTGCATGCTTCAGTTTTCTTAATCCTTCCCACTCCTCCATATGACATCTTTACAATCTACTGATGATTTGCCTTAAAATTAGCATAAGCATTTTAATATTGCTCCATTTCCCAAAGTAAATTATTAACCTATCCTGTATTAACAGACAATAAGACTTGGAATCAAATCCCTAAAATCTCCATGTGCAGTGGGAGGTCCTGGTACTCCTCTCTGTCCTTTATAGTAAAGTCTTCACAATATTGTTTTCCATGTTCCTTTAACTCAATAGAAATATTTGTCAAACTAGGAACTTAATCAGCTATTTTCTGCAAATTGGGTTGTCTTCATTATACAAAGGCCAGAAAATACTAAAAGGAACTATTTTATAATAATTCCAGTTGAATTTTATTCTTATGCTTTACATTTTAATTACATTACATTTCCTAAGGGACATGGATCACATTCAATTCTAGGATGACAAAGTAGTAACATTTCCAAGCAAACTCCTTGCAAGATTGTTTAGCTACTAGTGCTAAGCAAGGTGTTTAGTAGAGTAGTGCCAAAAAGTATTATTACATATTCCTTAATTATTACATATTCCATTATCTTCTAGAATCACCAATGTTTACCATTTCTCCATTAGGGAATGTTCTGCATTTCATACTACACCGCAATTTGGGATATCCAGGTATTGGTGCCAAGAACACATAATGAAAACTGGATTTCTTTGTCAACTCAGTCTAAAACAGCAAATTCATCTGAAAATCTATGAAGTCAGAATGAAAGTCACTGCAATGCATCACTGCTTACAGTACTGTCCCATGTGCACATCATATTGCTCTATAATGGAAGATTAACTGTAGAAGCTAAGGTATTATCTTACTTCAAATATCTTATTTCAAGTTCAGTTTTATGTATCACTTTGTTTCAAATTCCACGTACCACTTCTGTCTGCCAGCCCACCATGGATCACACGGGCAACCGTTATGTCACCTGTTATCTCATGGCGTTTAATGGTAGCACCCTGGCAGGTAAGAACAAAGAAAAAACACACTGATCACCAAAGGAGCCCAGTAAGTTTCCTTCCATACCACAAGTCTGATCTTCACACGACAAAAAGGCATTGAGGGATACAGCCTTTTTACCACAGCATGGATCTAGCAATAGCCACAGAATCATGGAATAAGCTGAGTTGGAAGGGACTACAAGGATCACTGAGTGCAACTCCTGGCCCTGCACAGAACCATCCCCAAGAGTCACACTCTGTACCTGACAGCATTGTTCAAATGCTTCCTGAACTCTGTCAGGCTTGGTGCTGAGACCACTTCCCTGGGGAGCCAGTTCCAGTGCCCAGCCACCCTCTGGGTGAAGACCCTTTTTCTAATATCCAATCTAAAACCTCTCCTGACCCAACTTCAGGCCATTCCCTCTGTTCCTGTCACTGGTCACCAGAAGGAAGAGATCAGTGCCTGCCCCTCTTCTTCCCCTCACAAGGAAGTTGTGACTGCAGTGAGGTCTCCTCCAGGCTGAACAGAACAAGTGACCTCAGCCACTCCTCACACGGCTTCTCCTCAAGGCTGTTCACTATCGTCATGGCCCTCCTTTGGACACTCTCCAATACTGTAACATCTTTCCTATATCATGGTACTTGAGGTGAGGCTGCCCCAGTGCAGAGCACAGCAGAGCAATCCCCTCCCTTGCTCAGATGTGATGCTGTGCCTGATGCCCCGCAGGACACGCTTGGCCCTCCTGGCTGCCAGGGCACTGCTGGCTCATGTTCAACTTGCCATTGACCTAGACCCCCAGGTCTCTTTCCAGGGCACTGTTTTCTAGCACCTCATTTCCCAGTCTGTCCATAGGTCCAAGGTTGCCCCATCCCAAGCGAAGAATACAGCATTTTCCCTTGTGGAACTTCACATGGTTGGTGATTGCCCAGTCCACTCCTTTATTGAAGTCTCTCTGCAGGGCCTCTCTGCCCTCAAGGGAGTCAACAGCTGCTCCCAGTTTTGTACTTTCTATGAACTTGCTAAGAACCCTTTCCAGTCCTGTGTCTAGGTCATTTATGAAGCTCTTGAACAACACACAACCAAGGATGAAGCCCTAAAGAACCCCACTAGTGACAAGCCCCCAGTCTGATGTAACACCAGTCAGTATAGCCCTTTTTGCCCAACACATGTGCCATTTGCTCACCCATCCCATAATGTGTTAATCCAGCTGTGTGCTGGACATTTTGTCCAGAAGGATACTCTGAGAAGACAGTATTGAAAGCTTTCCTGAATTCCAAAAGAATTACATCAATTGGCTTCCCCTGATCAGCTAGCTGGGTTACCTTGTCATAAAAGGAAATCAGGTTTGATAAACAGGACCTTCCCCTCAGGAAGCCTTGCTGGCTGTGACCAATGATTGCATTGCCCCTTAGGGGTTTTTCAATACCTCCCAAAATAATCTCCGTAACTTTACCAGGCACTGAAGTGGGACTGACAAGCCTGTAGTTTCCAGGGCCATAATGTATTAATACTAAGTCCTTCAATGTCTTCAACTTCCATCACACTAAAATAACCTAATTGACTGACAATAAGAAATCTTTTTTATACCCAATATTACAGCTATCTTTTCCTAAAACAGATTAGCTAAGCTATGCAATGTTTGCTGCTTATAGGTACAAATGATTACTAAAGAACTCTCCTCCCTTCCTTTGTTTCAGCCATGGGAATAACTCTCAATCCAGTTTGGTTTTATCTCATATAATGAAAATACATCTGTCAAATGTTCAAACCCTAAGCAGACAAGGCACTGAACAACCTATACCCACACTATGCATGGCTAGATGGTCCTCTCAGGTCCTTCCCAACCTCAGCAGTTCTTGTGATTCTGTAAAATCTGGACAAGAATGCACATAATCCCCATGGCATCCCTGGGAAGAAACCAATATGCATCCAATGCATTATTAATTCTTTCTAAGTTAAAAAAATTTGACAGACACAAGGAAGGTCCCTCACCAGAGGTTGGTTGTTTTTCACTAAGCAGACAATCCTCATAGCTTCTTCATTTTCAGGTATGTTGTCTGGCAGTGGTGGAAGGGTTGGTTCAAAATCCTTCTGGGCCACAGTATCATGAGCAGATAGCAAGGCCTGTTACAAATGGAAACAAGCAAACCAACCAGCCCATAAGCAAAGATCATACAAAAGCAGAACTTTAAATAGCGACTAGTCAGAAAAGAGAAATAACTGAGTATGTTCCTTTGTGAACACAGATCCCTTGCACATACTGACATCTTCTTCTTTCCACCAAGAAAATCAAACCATGAAGGTTTTAAGAACAGCTCCTCTTTTTATTGTGGAAAACCTTCAAAAGATGAAATATTTCTATTTGGAGCTCTTGGATCGAGAATGCAGATTCTGCAATTTCAGGGAAAATTTAATATATATCTGCATTAACTGCCCATAATTTAGAACTTTGTAAGAAACATCTTTCAAACACAGCCTTAAGTAAAATGCAGCCCACTGCAGGTACTTCAGATACACAGTCCACATTTGATCTCATGATCAGGTTAGTTCATTGTTAGTAAGCTATGTCTCCTCTGGCTCCTTTACCAATTCTTGTGAACAGCTGCCCATCCATTTCCACTCCCACTGCAGAGAACTCCATGAGCAAACTTTTTCTATCCTTATGCAGGACTTGCCTTGAAGTGTGGAGAACGCAGTAGTCGTCTTAGCTCTTTGATCTCTCCTGACTGAGGGGCTTGATGAAGTAACTCGACTACCTGATAAATGTGAAAAAGAAAGCACAGAAATGGATTCTAGAAGACAGTTCATTTAGAAAGCTCTACACTGAATGTAAAGAAATGCAGACAGTGTAAAGCCCCTCCATGTTATGTCAGTCAGAGGATGTCCATATTGTTTGCTGTAGAACTGGACAATATGACCACAGCTGCACTACACTCAGCCAGGCTTAATTTAGTTCAGGCACAGTGCCATGTACTCTAAATCAGTTTTTGCTTCCATCTCTCAACCAATTTCATCACCAGTCTCAGTTTCTCTACTTCGTCATTAACTCTCCCACGAATTAAAAGATTTAGAATTCAGCTATTATAATTAGGAAAATGTAAAAAGCTTTTCAATATCCTCGTGTCAGTCTGCTTGATTGCAGCCATAGAACTCAACCACAGAGTTACATGGGAAGAAAAAAACATGGTCAGTGATTAAACAATTAACATTTGTGTTCATTACACTGGCCAGGATTTGCGTAGTCCAGCAACCACAGCTGTGCCCACTTCTCATGCCCCTCCCCTCCCCCACAGTAAGGGCTGTTGAGTAGTTTTTCAAATGTGCAAGGAGAGTTTCAAGTTTATATACTGTACTTAGACCTGAGACATAGAATAAATACCAGAACACTTAACTGCAGCAGAGTCCGTTCATTTGGTATGGATAAGTAAAGCAATAAGCTGTGCATACATCTCACCTCACGACTCAATGCGCGTGCCTGCAGCGTGACAGGATCTGGTCTTTTTCCGAGATAGTGTTGAAGGCATTCATAAATCTGTTGCCATGCCATGACAGACAAAACAAGGCAATGATGACATTGACCAGTTCACATGATCATATAGATACATACATGACAGGCAATGGACAACATTATTTCTGGAAACTTCTGAGTCCAATTAGAGCCGCAGAGTCTGTAATCTAAATTCTTAATATCTGGCACATCTGGAATTGAGTCTTGAACTCAATGTCTTTCCATATTATCAGGTAACTAACCAGTTAATACTGTAGTTTTGAATTTTCCTAGAAGAAAAGCGGTCTACACAGGTAAATAGCCTGATAGTCAATTCTATGATTTGCAGCCTGTTTCCTTCCTCTATTTGAAGGCATAATTGCTGCATTTAACAGGCCCTTATGAGCATTCTTATCCAGTAAAAGCTCCTCTTTAAAAATCAAAGACTTTAAAAAATCCTTCTTAAAGAAAAGCAGAATTTTTACAGAATTTGTCTCAGAGATAAAATTCTTCTCAAGATAGAAACACCCATCAAAACTCTGTTCTCTAACAATATAATATCTTCCAATTACACATCGGATGAATGGGATGCAAAATAAAACAGTGTGTCACAGGCCAAGAAGTGGGATGCATAGCCATACTGAAATTTAAGAACAGAAAAGACAACTGAGCAATGATGTGTTTAGTGTCTCTCCCCTGGCTTTAATACAGACAGGTAAAGTAGAAGAGCCTAAATGTCTAGGACATTATGGAAGAGAACACTTTATTTTCCTTTAAAGCATAAATGGTTTTGTCTACTGTGACTGCTGATGTTAGAACTGACATCAGGACTATCACCACTTAGCATAAATAAGCATTTATTGTCCTCATATGGCAAAATCAAGTAGCTATTCCCTAGAGATTGTTCTGTAGGTGACCTTTGGTTTCCCAGCTCTGTGGTACGTTACCTTTAGCAGTGCTTGCAGCCAGCGAGATCTGAGCAGGTCATAGAGCGTACCAACGCCATTGACATCTCTCTTACAGAGCAAACTGAGCTCTTGCAGCGCTAGAGTCAGAACATGAGATACACCTGAGCCCAAGAAACAGAAAAGCGCAAGACACTTCAGTTCAAAGAGAAAACCAACCAAAGCCAAACACTGACCCAGACCTTTGAAATGCACCTTTCCTCAATTTGTACTTCTAAAAAATGCACAGACATTTCCTGTCTGCCTTGCTTTTTTTCCTGGAATCAACTCTGTTGCATAAGAGCTATTTTACCATGTTATTAGCCAGCAGGGTTAGGTCAATGCTAGCAATTTGCAACTGACCTGTGAGAAAACCATGCAGGCAATCTCACATGTCACAGTCTGGGTTCAAGTTCATACCTCCTACCAAGAAGAGGTGAAACAACAAAAAACTCCTTGGCTTTATAAGCCAGAAACAAATGTTAACTATTCTGATACTCTCTTAAGTTAACTGCAAGCCACCACTGAACATCAAGAATCATTCCAATTGTACAGTAGTAATACTTCAGACACATTCATCTCTCTCATGACTCATGGAAGAAGAGTCACAGAGATCAAGGAATACAACTTTCTGAAAAGAGAAAGAAAACTGAAAAAGATATGTGAAAGTTACCATTATCTTTACTGCTGACTGTTGGCACCTCCATCTTCTCCTTTATTCAAGGAGATTCCACCCACTTTGAATACTGCATTCACACCAAGTTGGTTTCACAAAGACAGATGATGAGCTAGGGAAAAGAACACCCTCATATCAGAATACTGACAGGTATTTTACACTGTTAAGAAAGCAGAATTTAAAACAAATAAAGGGGTGTGCAATAATTTGTATTTAAAGTGCATCACAGGTGTAAAAAATAAACATGAGTCTCACCTGTAAATTCAGCTACCCAGTAGCATCCAAGATGCCGACAGACAAACCTCAAGTGCAGTATGGCAATTTAATCTCTTTATAGAATTGATATTTGCTTGCTTCATTAAGTCATCTAAAACAGAAAGCTGTTTGGTCCATCTTCTAGCTCTCCAGGTTCTTAAATGTGCTATCATGAGAAGACGTAATTTTTTCTAAAGACTTAAATCTTGTTTTATATCCATATAGCTTGGAAAATAATAATATTCAAGGAAAAACTACATTTAATTCCTCTCGAATATTGAGACAATATTAAAACTGAAAGACTGGAGTTTCTACTGAATTTTCATTGAGCAAAGGCATGATTTTGAAAAAAGGGATATCTGTCTCTATAACTATTAGAATTTAAGGTCTTTGAAGGATTTGTTCCACAGAGATTTCATGATTTTTCTCTTATTACCTCATAGTAAATTAAAACCCCAAAATCCTAAGCCCAGACAAAAAAACCCACTTCTTACCTTTCTGGTATCATCACCTCTCTCAGGCAATTTATAATAGGTTGTCACGTATAGAGATGGAATCAAAAAATTTATTTGCTAATCTAAAGATGTGTTGCTGATTTCTTTAATTATAAAAAGCAGATATACTACCTTATTTTTTTTCCTGTAGATTTTAAAATCAGCATTTTTAAGCAATGCAGGGAGACAACACTACTAATTAATATGTATCCATGTTGCATGACCTTTCCACAAATAAAATATGCGCCTTCTAAAATTTTCTTTCCAATTCCTTCCCTCCCTTAAAATTCTGCGACAACCTATCACTAACCTATAACATTCTCTTAAACTAAAACTGGAAGAAGTTCTTCAATCTGCTGTTCATGGCAAACAATGCAGTACAGGATTGTTTCAGAGAATTCTCTGAACTCTTCTCAAAGTAGTATGGAAATTCCCCAGGGAGCACCACACACTGCATTTATACCCTAAAGCATCAAGAATCTATGTATGAAAGCTCTTAAGTAGTTGAAAATCTTCATTACATCCTAGATGATTTAACTTCACACTTGATACAAGTGTAAAGATATTGTCATGATTAGCAGTATTGCAGATTACTCTTAAAGAATTAAATATTTCAACTGGCCACTCAAGAGATAGTTGTAGTCTAAGTTGACATCAAACATCTTAGCACCTTGGCCAATAGTGAACCCCAGTGTGGCACAGCGAATGTGTTACAACAAATTCTGCTAAATACACAGTAGATTATCTCCTTGATTAATCAAGTAAAAAGGCAACCATTTTCCTGTAGATTGCTTTGTAGACAGAAAACAGCAAAGGTACAAGCAGGAACAGTATTATCTTGATCTGCTTACAAAAGCAGAAGGCATTACTGTCACTTTTACTGCATTTAATACTTATTTTTAGAACATGCTTCCTCGCTCTCCTGTTAAATCATAAAACTGCTTTCAAAAGTCAGTGGAAATTAAGGGAGGAAAAAATAATAAATTTGAGATTATGACTCAAACATTTTATTACTGAGTCTAGGCAATTCATTTCAAGTTACTTCTACAGCATACTCAATGGTACATCTTATTGAAATTCTAACCTGAAGACTGCTTTTACAATTACGATTTTTTCTTTCAAAGATTCACAAAAATATAGTTTGATCCTCCCCAGTACAACTGAGGTTTGATCTTCAATTATTTAATATTTTTCAATAGTCTTAGGCCTTTTCCTTAAAGAATTTGCCTTCCCTGTTTTTAAGCTTAGTTGATCTGCCTAATGATGGAATTAACAAAGCAGGACATAAATCTAGTCATGAAAACCTGTTTCTTAATCTATTCAAAGCACTTGGAAACAAAGAACAACATTTATGGCGATGATAACATATCTCAGATTGTGTTAAACACAAACAATATCATTGCCCCTTGAATATTTTAAAGGGATTATTTTTTCCCCATAGAGCATTGCAGCTTCTGGTATCAGTAGAGCTTCTATAGAGAACAGATGCGGGAGCAACTCGAGTGTGTTTAGAAATTTTGGACACAGTTTATCTTGAAGGTGAACCTCAGATTTCCCAAAAATCTCGGAAAGTTACTGAAGGTTTCGCTTGCCTTGTTGGGTGAAACCCTCAGCTACAGCTATCAGAGTTCTAGGAATAAACATGCAGTAACCTTTCCATCCATTGCTGTCATCTTAAACCACAGAGTTTATGCTCACACTAACAGAAGTGGCATTTGAACATCAAAATCTGTCAAAGTTGTGACCATCACAGCTCACCTCAGTCATATATTATGTTTTGTATTTACAAACAACAAAAGGAAAGCAGTTTCCAACTGTGAAGCCTAGTCTCAGAAGCTGTCAGTAGCAAAAGATGCTGAAAAAGTCACTACAAGAGAAGAAGAGCTGCTTCTTTAGAAAGAGACCTACTGGATTGCTTGCTTAAGGGCAAAGGTCAGAGTTCAAATAAACTCAGAATTACTACTGTGCCTTCATTTCCTAAGACTTTTATCTTGTAGACTGTAAGGCCTGAGCTCAGGGTCTCCTCATCCAGGGATCTAAATAAATTAGATGGAAATTCTTGCTAAAAGGCTTACCGGACTAATCTCCCAGGCAGTATAAGGGCCTTCCCATTCACGTGTATTGCAAGCAATTACAGATGCTCATTAATAGAAGATATTTCTCTTTGCCTGTTGTTAGAGAAAGAACTGGATATCCACACTGAGTGTGCCAGAATTTGAGTCAAAATGAGTCAGTCACCTCAAGTCTGCAAACATCAGTTATCCCAAATCTGAGCTTCTCCTTCAGCAGCAAAGTGTAAAATTCCTTGACTCTAATTGTCAGACAGACAAGGTGGTCTTATTGATACAAGGCTAGAGCTGCAAGGGAACCTAAGCCATGTTTTAATACAGTTTCAGAATTGTCTTGAAGTGGACAATTTTGCATCTTGTCAAGCCTCTAAAGGGGACAACACCAGAAAATCTGACGTCCAGAACATCACCCCCCTGCTCTTATACATTGCTTTAGTTAATATGTTAGACTTGAACCCTTTTAAAAGGAAAATTACTTCTATCTTTAAATTTACCAAAATTAATGATTTAGCATATTGAAGACTGCAAATTAGCTTGAGGGCAGGAAACACTGTCAAATAAGACACTCTAAATAAGACACTCTAAATCAACAAACTGAACAGGCAAAAAATGGTGGGAAAGATTCAGCAATTCAAACCACATGCCCTGTTCAGGACTTTTTTATTCTGCAATAAATAAGCTTAATTAGACCAGTGTCATTACTGAAGTCTGACAGCTTCTTTTCTAGTCAGTGTAAAGAACCATCTTGTTTTTTGTATACCTTTTGAGACACTAAAGTGTTTTAGCTAAAGCAGCAACTCTAAATATTAATGGAATAAATTGACACAACTTAAGCCTTTGAAACCACTTATCCTTATCTCACTTACCCAACAACCTCTTAATGCAAGTCAGAGGCAGTAGAGTTAAAAACAAACAAAAAAAAAAAACAATTGAAAAAACATGATGTTCACACCAGGCATTCTGTGAGATCTGTATATGTAAGGTAATTTATTCTGTTACTCTCTGTATTCAGATCTATTCAGTGATGGTTCATTCTGCCTCCCTCCAAAGCACAATCTTAGAGCAGCAGTGGTGGGGTGAGTGCCTTTTTTATATGGGCTGAGAACTGCCAAAACATCGTTCCCTAAAAGAGCAGCATTCAGAGAACACTTGGATGCAGTCATGAGGGGCAGCCAGCTTTACTTCCAGATGTTTACTGCCAACAGCTTGGGCTTACAGAAAACAAACAACCAAAAGCCCCCTAAAAAAACAACCAACCATTGTATTGATACTAAATCAACTTAGAAGTCCCATGGCTAGGTTGTTCAAAAAAGGATTTGTTTTACAGTCTCGTATCAGTCACAAAATTTTCTGCATTATCTCTCAACATACCAGAACAGGTACTTTCCTAAACTATTTCTAAAAACAGGTAGTTTTGTGAAGATTAGAATTGAAGAAAATATTCCCTTTCAAGCTCCTACTCCCCTCTAATATTTAGCTAAGAAGAATTAAACAGGTATCAGGAGTTTTAAGTAGCTTTGCTATAGCTATGAGAGGAAACTAATTTCATATTTACACAGGGGAAATGCATCCTTGCAGAACAATGGTTTTAGTACAGTGCAAATTTTCTTACCTGCAAATCCCACAGAATACGCCATGTTCAGCTCATGTAGAATTTCCAGAGGGAAAGAGTATTTGTTGGATGTTAGTACAGCAAGTAACCTCACTGCCCCAGCTAATCTGTGGACATCCTCTCCTTTCTAATCCGCAGAAACCTAACCTTAGAACTACTCATTACCAGGGAGAGGAGAACAAATCCCCTTAACCCTTTTCTTGCATAAAAAAACTACTTTACATTTTCTCTCACCTAAATAGTTTCTTATTCTCATCAACTTTCCCAGGCAATAGGGTGCTCATCACTTAGCGTTTGTCTGCAGCCAGTGTCGATCTTCTGTGGCTGGTTACAGGATTTCTGCTGCAGCACAGGAAATACCTGTCTCTCCATTAAAGAAAAAAGAAAAAAAAAAAAAAACCAGAAAAAAGTAATTACCCTGAAGCAATTCAGCTGGAAAAGTCCTGCAGGTTAACTCAATTCTTTGTTAGTTACAGCAATACACAAATCAAAGCTGGTCTGTACTGATTTCCTAACGCATCACAGCCCAGATCAGCTGTAAAGTGGAATCTCTGTCAGAAGCACATTTAATCCTGGGATTCTCTTCAGCTAATAACTGAGCTATATATCAGAAGAACCAAAAATAATCTAGCCCAGACTGTCTGCTTCCCTAATTCAGCCAAGCTAAATAAATACGTGATACCACTACTTTTTCTAAAAGATTGAATGTGTATGTATACATACCTCTCTTTGTGTTTATGTATGTAAAGGCAGACGTATCCTTTGGGTTTGGTAGTTCTCAGCTTTCCACCATTCACAGTAAATGAAGTTACACCATTAAAGTTGCTACATATTTGTTGCTACACCTTGTTCTTGAAAAGCAGAAATAACATGGAAGAATTTCCCATTTCTAGTTACATTTTTGGTTTAAGGCACAAAAGCAATGTAGGACTTCATATGAAACAAAGCATAATATTAAAATCCTTTCTTCTGAAATATCCAAATACAAAACATGCTAATTCAAAGCAGTTACATGAGAAAGAACCAATCCCAAATCTGTTTTTTATGGTTTTGCTCCCACAAAAGGCAAAATAAATCCTGAATTCAGATCTTCTAGAGATGAAAATTGCCATTGATTTACTCAGCTGTCCAGCATAGCCCCATCTTAAAGGGCAGTTCTGCTCCTCTAGGCTTCAGTTATATTTTTTTTCACATGAAGGTGATTGCATGGAAAGGCTGCATCTAGTGCAAGATGAAGTGTTTGAATTCTGCCTTATCCTTAACTATGCTCTTCACCTCTAGTTGTGTCTTCCCCCTTCTCAAGTTATCTTTTTAGAGCTTCCCTTTCATTCATATTATTGCTCATCTCTCCTTGAATTATTCAGTATAATTTTAAAAATAAGACTGAGCCAACACTAAACTGTTTGTAAAACATGGAGTCCATTCTCTATAGTCTCTCATCACTATAGTCTGTTGCAATTTAACAGTAGTTTTAAATATCATCGTTCCAGAATTACTCTTTCCCCTTCTCTGATAAAACTAGAAATAATTTTGAAAAGACCAATTACTTCTACTTTATTATCAAAATTGTTACATTGCAGCTGTTGTTCAACAAAACTGTGTTTTGGCATATGGGTTCTTTCCATTTAGATGCCAATATACAAGCCATAACCACTACTTCAAAATGTGATAAGCATTATATATGGAGTCTAACATAACTTGAGCTATTATAACATTCTGTAACCTACATTTCCTTTCCCTTTTTTATTTTTTTGAGTCAGTCCTGGCACCTACAATACTATAGTTACCCACCAGTGTTATTAGGATAAGGAAGTTAGCCATAAACCACAGAACACACACACTCAGATTCCCCAGGGAAATGACTTCTCTGCAGGCTTTGAGGTGAACTGCTCCAGCAGGTGTGATCAGGATCACACTAAGGGACTGCAGGGACCTTTCCCAAAGTGGGAGGCTTTGTAATTAGTACCAGGAGAGTCAGCTCAGTGTGTCCTGCTCCGAGTGGGAAGCATGGAAGCACTGAAGCTCTGCCTCAGAGGCAGCTCTGGCTCAGCACAGGCAGAACCAGGAGTGATAGCAGAGTTCCAAACCTGCTGGAGCAGCCACCCCAACACAGCCTGTGGGGTGAACTGCCTCGGAGCTTCCCTGCAGTGGGAAGAGCTTGGCATTGGTGCTAGGAGTTCACCTCTGGGGCAGTGGCTCCGCATGCTAAACCCTGCCCAGGAAGGGGCTGGTCATCACTTGCTGCTGAGGAGTGGAGCGAGAGAGGAGCGCGGTGGGCCCCTGGTGTTAACCAAGGTCAACCTAGCACATCTGCTCAAGGGCACCCTTCACCCTTCTCGCCTCTCGAGCAGCCCACAAGGGCTGACAGAGACAGTGTTTGTTCTCAGGGTAAGCAAACTGAACACTGCACAGCGTTTTATTCAGTGCCAAAATCTGAAGTGGTCAGTGCCTTTTATTTATTTCATAAACAGAAAGAATGGTAAATGCCTGTATATTTACAATTCTAGTAAATAGGGAAGTCTAACAGTGTGATTACTTCCACAACAGCACATGAATACTGCATTCAGCAATGCTGTTCAACACAGATGCCTCAAAACCATTACAGCCAAACACACTATAGGTACCCATTATAAATACTAACATATTTCTATTTTCTTAAATAAACAAACATACAGCTTAATTCAGGAAGACCAAATGGTTCTGTGGTGCAATTCATTC